TCCAATCACCTCTTTAGAAGAAAATACAAACTTGGAGGGGTGAAGAGAGAGAGAGGGGGCGAGGGAGAGGCGGGCACTGTTAACTGGACCTCGGAGGACTTTGGTGGAGAGAGAGGAAGGAGAGATGAGTATTTGTGATTTTGCTTCAAAGCCAGGCAGGCGCACAGGCACAAATGAACAAACCCAGGCACACAAGAGAAATATAAATACCACCAAATATGAAGGAGATCTGATAACGGGGCATAAATACACGGATTACTATTTCCTAGTAACGGCCTTCAGGATGCTACTATATAGGATCTTCACCCAACTGAACAACTAAAGGTGATATGGAGCAACACTACCTTTGGATCGAAGAAGAGTTTGTTTTGTGTCTGGATCTCTTGGCCTAAGAAGCCCAATCCTATCAGCAATAGTGATGACAACTGAGTTTCTGTTTGTGAAGTTTCATTCAGTATGCATCAGGTTCAGTGTGGGAGTAGATATGGCTTCTTCTTGTTTCAGGGGGAAAGCGACAGACACACAAAGGCTGACAGGAGGTCACAGTATACTGACCTGGCAACAACTTCGAACATCGATCAAGCCCACGTACACACACTCAAAACTTACAACATACACAACACCGTTTAGAAATATCCGGGAAATGCAGAGTTTTAAGAAACCAAGCACAAAAGAAATCGGCGTATTTGATTCGTTTTCGTGGCTGCAGCAACTGACACTAACTTTTGCACCAAAGTTGTTCAGGGCCTTGTGTTCTGCACTTTGACTGGACGACTTCCCCCCCCCCCCCTCCCTCTAAAAGCTTGCAGTCAGTGATGGAAGCTCCGACGCCGCATTCAGCCGCACATCCATCCAGATGAAAGATGAATGTATGCTCGCCCCATCCCCGATGTCTCATGGAAAGAGAAAAATATTCTGAGAACACTCCGAATTGCTTCAGAGACACTGGGAGGAAGGATGTGTGTGTGTTTGTGTGTGTGTGTGTATGAGGTGGAGGAGCAAAAGGGGGAGGTTGGCGGTTGAGCAATGTGATTTCTGCTCGACTGTCACAAATCTAGCGCAACAGGAAAATCAATTTGGCCCTGTGTGAGCCTTTTTGGCTCCGGGAGAGAATCCAAATAGCAAGGCGAGGCCCGGATAATGTTACAGTGTATTGGATTTGCTTCATGGAGAGACGGGGAGAGAGAGAAAGAAAGAGAGAAAGAGAGCGAGGAAGGAGAAGGAACCGGAGAAGTGAGGGGACGAGGGAATCACAGGCGTGCCGTGGAGCTCCGACAAGATAGATTTGTGCAAGTATATGGGTGTATGACAGGCTGGCAATCTGTCTCTCTCTCTCTCTGCATGGCTCTCTCTCTCTCACACACACACGTACACAATCACACACGCACAGACAACACTGTCACTCATCCAAATAAGCGAGCACATATAGGCTTAAGTGATTTATTTATATGGCCATATATGTTTCTCTTGAAACCATGACAAAAACGGTTCATAGGGTTGTGTGCTGTTGCGCTGTTATGTATGCCTCCTGTGTGTTTGTGTGTGTGTGTGTGTGACAGCCAGGTGAAAGGATGACATGATGAAATTGCTCTCCTCCGACCGCTGTCAAGGGTAACGTGTGTCCCGCGAGTGCTCAGCCGTGTGACATGTCCCATCACTCCTGTGACTGAGGCTGACCAGTGACAGAATAACACGCAAACACACACACACACAAATATAGGCAAATATAAAATGACTGGATCTATAAAGGTTGGTATAGCAATATTTTTCTTGAAGTCATTTCTTTATACCCTTTACCCATAAACCACTTTTGCATAGTTATTATGGTAGACATGTGGCAAAGTCCATAAACTAATGCAGGTGGTAACGTACACACACCTTGTCACTACAACATTTAAAAACTAACAAATCAAATCAAAATATGACCATGGGACTACAACACACCTATATTGTAGTTTAAAACATAAAAGTAAACAATAGATTTTGATGCGAGTAGAGCCACAGAATGCATTATAGAGGGACCTGCACACCCAGAATGCATTTCAGCCACAAGATATGTTGTTGTGACTTTTCCTTGATTGGAGCCATACTAGTGCAGATAAAAACTGTTTTTTTCACGCTTATTAATTAGACTAATAATGTTTTGTTTATTAGGAGGACACTGTTGTTCACACGGCTGGTTTGAATAATGAAGAAGGTTTTTTATGGCTTCGTAAGTAACACAAGTGGGAGTACTGAGGATAAAAAAAAACAACACACAAATACACAGTGCTGTTTGTTGCTAGCTCTCTTGCCCCCTCCCCTCCCTCGCTGACTTGTAAGAAACTAAAACGACAACATTAGCCAAAGTGTCCTAACTTGTGATGAAGTGTTAGAAAGTGGAGCGTTGGTAATCAGATGTGTGCTAACCACATTAGTTCTCCTGTGTCTCTCTGAGGCTGGCTGCTCCTTGATCTAATTCAAACTGATTGTAGTACAGCCGCTAAAACACGCCAGATGTTACTCACTGCTCCACGCTTTATCACCATTTACTTGGCATGGGGAATATTTTTTAATATTTTCTTATTAATCACGTCCCAGCGATCAGTTTCGCTTCCCGTCTTCGCCGCCTCATCCCGGGTTCTCGTCATGATTCTTGGCACGGGCGCCTGGAAAAACCACTGTCCCAGTTTTTCATTAGCGTCAATCACTCTGGTAAGCGGCTTCGAGGAGGTGCGGGGGAGGAGCTGGCATCGGGATCTCACTCAAGACACTTTGCCCCGCCTTGTCAGAGTGACTGACAGGCCTGAGACATGCTGATGCGCCGGTCGGCCACGCAGTCGGGCAGAGAGGTGGAGGGATGACGGGAGGCCAGGCGAAGACACACACACACATTCACAGGCCTGTCTGAGGCAAATCAAATCCACACTGCTTTATAATGCTCAGTGTTTATCTAAATGGTTATGTGCTGCACTGTGGCCTCAGGAGACAGACAGACACACCGTGCATTGTCTGATAATCCTGTTGGTGTCTTGTTTGGCCTGCCATATCTTAGATAAGACTCCGAATCAGATAGGAGCTCCTCCACTACCAGTCAGTCTCAATTCATTAATACTCAGACTGGAGAGGAAATATTAGTAAATGTTGGAAATACTTGTGCGAGCCACAGGGGAGATGGACTCTATCAAAATTCCCCTGCAATGAACAGACGTGTTTCTACAACATTGCGATCAAAGACTTAACAAATCCTTTCTATGCAAGGACAAAAACTGTGTGAGGAAAATGAACGAGACATATTCAATGAAGTGCTCCGCACTAAGCTCTAATATTCTTCAGCGGTCTGAATTAGGATTTCAAATGGGCCAGAGACATCAAAGACTAGACATGCTGGATTGATATTATTTGTCTTCTGGTGCAGTGTGCACTCAGCTTCATCCTCTGTCCAAACTGGCAGAATGAAAATTGATCTGGAAGGATTATATGGTGAGTTGGAGATGAGAAAAAAGAGAAGCTATTAAACCAGTGTGGTGTCAACCTTTATGCTTTAGGTCATCTGCACAGCTCTAAAAAGAGGTTAAACTGTGCTTGCCTAACACCCAAGGAGGGGCGAATAAAAATAAAACGATTTCACAATGTTTGCAACATCTAAACCTGAACACATAATACAAAAAGCAAACGTGTGATTCCCAAAGCACCTGCAAAACAGTGAAATGCACCCTGACTGTGCTGCCAAGCAAATAACTCCTCTGTGCTCCTGTGCTGATACATTTAAATAAGGTTGTATCAATACACTTGGCACAAAACTGGATCATTCCGTCTAAATGAGACTCCAAATTTACAAAAAAAATCTTAAAACCCAATTATTTCTGCTATGTTAAAAATGTTTAAATTCCTAGCCTGAAATGGAGGAATTGTTGTTTAGGATCTGTATCTCATGGTCAAGTTTCTTTCCTCATTGTTCCTATGTTTTTTTCCCATTGTACTGCCTTCTGTGTTCTTGCCGCAAATGTATACTTTTCAACATGGATATTTGCAGTAATGTATGGGCATGTAATATCATTAGAGTAACATCTTTTGTGAGGTAGCAGTTCCAAGTGATGCGCAATTAAGAGGTTGCAAAGACTGGAAAAAGCGCTTTAAAAATGCAGTCCAATCACCATGGAGCTATCAGCCTCTGCACTCCAGGGTTTGTTAATATGCCATCAGTATGTAGATTTACATGGACAATATTATTATGGGTAGTAATAGGAAATCTAGATTAAAACAGAGAAACACCTCCTGTTTATTCTGGGCTGATTTATTTAGCCTGTTTCGTTATTAAAACCTTTTTTCCTGCAATCTACTCTTGCAATGCAAAACACACCATGTTGTTGTTTGTTGAAACGTGAATACCTATTCTGCATCAGGGTCAGTTTTCTACATGACCTTTTTAAAAATCCTCTTTAAATGCACATATTTAAAAACAAATGAAATCCGGCTTAGGGCTTTTAATAGCAAAAATATATGGAAAGGTCAAGCTGAATTATAGGTGTGAAAACTGTGAAATGCTTACAGCAGCAACACATTGACTAACGGTACTGCATTAAAGATTTCAAAAAGCACATCATAACTGAATCACTGGAAACTGAAACTTCTGTCCCCGCCCCTTTTAGTGAAGTCACAGCAGCTGCTTTATTTCTCTGTCAAAGGCAATACACCTCATTAGACGTCACTGACTGGGGGAATGTTTGTGATTGTTTTCTCAGTAGATTTCAAACAGCAGACTCTTGTTTGGTGGCACAAAGCAATTTCCCCTTTAAGCTGTAAAGCAATTTTGCAAATTTCCCAGGGAACCTAACACTGTGGTAGACAATGTAAAATGCGGTGCAGTGTGTGTTCCTCTTGTCAGTTATAGTCTTGTTTGTTTGTGGGGATGTCACTAATGAAGTTATCATGCTACAAGTTGCATCTTCCATCAAGATAAAATCAGTTTATGGAGATGCAGGTGAACATACTTGTAGAGGCGCTAATGGAAAGCGTACCTGGTGCAGAGGTGTTGGCTGGGGGTCCGCTGGCAGGAGAGATGGGCCCGGAGCCGGAGCGCGAGTGCTGGGACTGAGTGGAGCCTGCGGGGGAGCCCACAGGGGACGGAGAGGGCCCGCTCCTCTGGCTGGCGAGGTGGGGGGAGGCGTGAGGGGAGAAGGGGGACTGTCCCTGGTTGCCGGCCCCTCCCTGCTCCCCTTGGCTGCTGGTGCTGCTGCTGGAAGAGCCGGCCACGCTGACGGCGGAGCCCAGACCCCCCTCCGTCCCAGTGGGGAGGTCATCAATGGAGCCGGACAGATCCTGGAACAGAAAAGAGGACGCACAGTGAGTGTCTCTGAAGCCCACCCAAGCATTTGATATGTTGTGACATGCAGCAGGTGGCACATTTGAACGTGAGCTCATATAATGTCATGATAGATCAGCACTATTTCAACTATTTCCGCACGGTTGACATATGACTGGCTGAAAGACCGGATCATAATGTGAAAGAGCTGCTTGAAAATAAGAAGAAAAAAGAACAAGGGAAACACATGAGGCAAATACACACAATACTTCCATTGCTTTTGCAAGGCAGTGCAGTTTAAAAGCATGTACCAAACTGTTTTTAACTTTCTTACTTGAATCACTGAGATAAAGTATCTGCAGTCATAGAGGCAGTGCTTAATCTGGCAGAGGAGCAAAAACATTACCTACATAAAAAGAAACTACTTTACAGTGGCTGCTGTGGCTAAAATGAATTGTAGTGGGCTTTCATCCAGACCAAGGGTGAGTTCATAATACACTTTTCATTCCCTGTGGTGAGCACAGCACTTTGTGTGTGTGTGTGTGTGTGTGTGTGTGTTTAGTAGGTACTCCCCATCCAGAATTGATTCCAGGGAATCCCCACTAATACTGCTGACAGAATACTGAATAAAGTGTTAAAGTGTGCAGCCCCAAAGCACTAAGACAGCAATGATAGATATAAGATTGGTGGAGGTAAAGAGAAGACCAGATGTGATGCAATGTGATGGCTGACCCTTAACTACACATCACACACGTTTAGACAGACACACACATGTAGAGACGAGCGGCTGTGTCCCAGCTGTAGCTGAATAAGGGGAAGTCACCTGTAAGTGACCCCTGTTTCCTGGCTGGTGCTGCGGGTGTATGCCAGCTGATCCTGCCTGCTCCGTCAGGCCTGTTGACCCGTCCCACCTGGGTCCTGTGCAACCCTGACTGTCACCCCATAATGATATGTGTCTGTCTGTCTGTATGTCATATAAAGCTTTCATCGGGTCTTAAAATCCCAAAACCCAAACTATACATCTACCGAAAACCAATCAGTGAAAAATATTCTGGTGAACTGAAACTAAATATTACATAATTATTTAAAAAAAACTAAAAGAATAAGTATGAACAAATAATCATTTTGATTGAATTAGTTTTAAGCTTCAATACATCACTAGCGAAAAACATCATGAATCCTCAACTCTCTCATCAAACACTAAACACACTTCAGATTCTTGGAGATGTCACTGTCACAATTGTTTAAAAATATATACAACTCCCTATTGTTTTTCATATAAAGTCTAGTTTGGTGTCATACTATAAAAGCTACATTAATAGCAGCCTCACTCTGCCTTAGAAAATCACTAGTAGTTCAAATAAAATAATAAGTATTGGCAACATAAGAGCACTAGAAATATCTGCTAACCCATCGTGTCTTGAATGCATTGGCTACAAATATGGTATTTATTTTGAGTTTACGCAGCTCTGCCACACTGTCAATTCAATGTCAACATAGCAAACACTGTACTTTTTCCTCATTACCCTAGCCCCATGTTCTTTTATATAAAGAAAGTGAGCCTGGCGCCTCCCATGTCTCTCTATCCATGCATGTCTTAGCCTGTGGAACAGACAACCCAGTCAGTGTGGCAGTCGGTCCACGGCTGCTTGTTTTGGTTAATGCGATCTCGGCGGTGACACACAAAGCCTTTGTTTCCCATCATGCCGCTGTGAGTGCCCACCCGCTCTGCCAGCCTGCCAGTCTGTCGCCTGGCATTATCTACCCTCGCTCGGCTGAACACATGGGGCACTCGCTTTCCGCTCTCTCTCCCTCTGTCTTTCTCACCCGTGGTACCACTGCCTGTCTCAGCCAATCATGTCACCCAGTATTCTGAGCCGAGTGATGTCACGCGCTGCCTCAACCAATAGGGCTTAATGTTATTTGCAAACCGACCTGCTGCCCCCAGGTGCATGCCATTTGACACAGCAGGGTTACCATGAGAGCGGGTGTAACCATGGCGATGGCTTTTCCAAAACACCCAGAGCTAACCCGACGTACGGCTAGGTTGTTAACCCACGGGCTAATTGTGTGAATGGATGGGAATAATTGCATTTCACCTAATTGGGTGCTGTTGCCAGCTTTTCCAGTGGCAGTTTAGGGGTGGGAAAATGTGTACCAGTAATTCGTTTAGAGGCTGTTAGGCTCATTTGGATTATACACACACTTGAGCACAGCTGTGTGGCCCAAGACCAAAAAAAGTGGCAGCAGAATAATAACATGAAAGGGTGGGAAGCTTAACACCCGCAGACTATAAAAATGTCAATTGTAAATACCCAATAAACCCACAGTTATGACTTATGGTTGCTGAAAAACTACCGTAAAAAAGTCATTTCACGATGCACCTACAGTATAATGCATTTATCAACACACACAACCTTCCTCCACATGTACACTTAATTCTCGTCAAGGGCCATGGAGCACTGTGTTACCTGGCTAACCCTATGCTACATAGTCATGTGTAAAGAATCAAAGCCAGCCAGCCAGCTAACCAGCCAGGCAGGCATGCGGTCGGACGATCCAAACGCCCAACAATCTGGGGCCCTGATCCAAAGTGGCCCAAATCCAATTTGTTTGGCTCGGGGCTGCAAATTGCTCTGTGCATTGAGTCTCCAAATAGCTGTCAACCACTCCCGCTTGGCGTCCTGTATCGCTTAATTCGCTCCTGGAGCATGTAATTGTCATAATAAGAAAAATATTGAGGTGATAATAACCAGTTACTTTGAGATGCCACCCCCCCCCACCAACACCCGTCTCAAGACGGTCACACATACAGTCGTGTATACGCACATAATGGGCCGAGACTGTCATCTACACATTTCACACAACATTGGGGAAGCAGTCGCTCGTGACCCTTCACCTCGCTGGTGTTGGCGCCTGCCTGCACTGTCGTCTTTACTGCGCCTCTGTTTGTGCGTATGTCTGTGTGTCTGTGTGTGTGTGTGTGTGTGTGTGTGTGGTGTGTGTGTGTGTGTGTGTGTGTGTGTGTGTGTGTGTGTGTGTGTGTGTGTGTGTGTGTGTGTGTGTGTGTGTGTGTGTGTGTGTGTGAAAGGCTGATGGGCTGTCACAGAGAGACATGCTTGAGCACTGATGCGGCCGAGGGGATAGATGAAGCTTCACAAACACGCACACTAACACTCACACACACTCACCAACCTGTCCCTCACTCATAGTTCTGACCTGCTCTTTCTTTCTCACACACACACACACCGCGACAGGGTATAAGGAATCGGTGTGAAGCAGGGAGCTGTAACATCCAGCAGACGGTTGGCCTTTTTCCCCTGACCATGGTGCTGATGTTGTCTCCTCTCACCTCACACTGGGAATTAATCAAAGTTGCTCTGGTAGATCGAGCGTGTGTGTTAGTGTGAGAGCAAATGTAGTTCTGTCTAGACAGGGAGGAGCCAATGACTGCAGCTTCCTGTGGGCTACAGGAAAGGAGAGCGACTGGAGGAACTAGCTACATAATTCTCTCTCTCTCTCTCACACACACACATCGGGTATCTGTTTTTCTGTCTCTCTCTGTGTGCCCCAGTCAGAGGGATTGTATGGCTGAAGGCTCTGCACCAGATGGCTAGCCAGCTAACTAGAGCCTGAAAGACAAACCCAAACACAGCCACTGAGCACTGTGAGTGGTAACACTCAAAAACAACCTCCCTTAAGGCTTGAAACTAAACAGAACCAAAAGATACACTTTGCAGTACCGATGTTACAAGTTGACAGGAATTATTCACATCAATATTTGATTAATATGTTTCATTTACAGGATAATTGTTAAAGAAATATCAACTCTCTCTGCCAGAGGAAAACAGCATTGGTACCAGCTCCCTTATATAGTGACATAACTGTGCTCATACTTGTGCATGGAAAATATATTTTAAAATGCAATAGTTTAAAGTTAAATATCGTTATCAAAGTTTATTTTATTTGTCCAAGTCATGAGATATCTGTTTTTCTGTCTTAGTTAAAAGTGTGTATAATTTGTTTGCTGTGCTCAAAACATAAAAAAATGACATTCATGTTTTTTTAAAGCAACACATTTCAAAACTTATTTCTCTAAATCACAACTGCTGTAACCGCAGTTTACATGGGGACTATATCTGTCTTTGGACAATCCTGTTGCTGTTGAATATTTAAAATGTCAATTTTTCAATGCTGCGGGCACCACAAAATAATGTTCCAGCTGCAGAAAATCTGAGATAGATATCTCAAAGCCTAGGCAAATAAAGCCGAAAATATTTGCATGACTAGATGCTCCTAGAGATAAGTGAGAACATGCTGTATTTATCTTTTATGGTTTGGGTCAACTGAGACCTTAAATAAAACTGATAAAAGGAACACTGTCGGGGCAAACACAAATGGGACATTTTTTCCAATATAGTCCTACTGCTGAAGCCTCACATTAGCGGCGGCTGAACTTTAGAATTCATATTTAAAACGACTGAGGCTGTGGATTATATCCCCCATCTCCTACATTGGAATTGCATTAGGAAAATATGTTTTCATGGTCAGTATGTAGAACGATTACAGCCGAAAAAGGGTTGAATATAAAATCAGGCCAGTTTTGTCTAAAGACACTCTTGAAAAGACGCTGACCTACACTTTTATTGTTATTTTTCTATCAACACTGTTGTGCTGTATAGAAGTTTTTACCAAAGTGTCCATATAGGGGCTATGTTTTCGCAGGTCACGAGTAAAATGAATTATAATGTTACTCATAGCGACGATTATACTGCACTTCACTGTGGTACAGTATATACAGAAATAACACCTCTGTGGGCTCAGAGGAGAGTTTTAATCTCTGTTTCTGTTCTCGGGGTAAATATGATGATGTAAACTGTAATTAACTCAAACAGCTATCGTTTGTAGGCCTGAGGGACAGGTCTGCTCATGGTAGCACTGCACTCATTTATCGACTCCGGCCGCTGTGTTTTCTATCTTTATGGAGCACTGGAGACTAAGAGGAAATGCTATTACA